CAATATTAGAAGTGTTAATTTTTTTAATAAATAATAAACACTTAAAATTTTAATGATCTCGTAAATTGCATTATTATTTAAAATTATTCAAAGAAAAGTTGATTTTAGGCTTTATTTGCTATAATATTATGAAGCCTTGAGTGCCATGACTGTGACAGTACTAAAAGTATGGAAGCTGGAAACTTGAATTTTCGGATAGATCCAGTTTATTATGTAACTTGTTATTGGTACCGTTGGATAGAGCTCGTGAAGGACTTTCAGGATCAGTAACCACCAGTTTTTGGATATCTTGTATAGTTTAGAAATAATCGAGTGAGATCACTTATCGTTTCCACCCTGTATAACGATAAAAAACAAATCTAAGGTACGATACGGATACGGACTATACAGGTTCGGCCCTAATAATATCTTTTTCGTAGACCGGGACCTTAGACAGGATCACAACGTGAGCTAATGCCACAAACCTCCCAACCCCAATTGACACTAAAGGAAAAGTTGCAGCTTAAAATTGATAAGAGTATGAAATGCCCAGATCCTGAAGTACAACTACAAAGTGAATCGGGCTTGACAAATAGTATCAGACGTGAAATGAGCCTGTTTGAAAATGGCGGAGTTCGTGGGTGGATATCACTTAGAATTAGCATTTAAGTATTTATTCTATAACCCGAGCGAGTGTTATCAGGCTGCTTTTGTAGGAAATAAATTACGAAGCAGGCTATATTGGATGCTTTGATATTTCTAAGATTCTATTTCCGAAATTCTAAATAGTGCTTTTGATTTGTATATTTTTTTTATTTTATTTTAGTATTATTGCAACTAACAATATTTAAAACATCTTTTGAGAAATTATACCACATAAGGCTGATCCCGGGATAGTCCCGGGATCCCGGGATTACCCATCAAAAATCCCGTAATCCCGGGATTGAAAAACATGCTCGGGATTGTATTCTCTAGTCCTTATTGACTTTTGTTATGTATTTCAAGACTGTGATAATGTGATGCAATGTTGTATGTAAACGCGGTAATTATTAAAGCCCACGAGTTGGATTCATATTGGGTTTTACGACTTTTCGATTTCAATATTTTCGGATTTGTGCACAATAGATGCATAAAAAAAATCCATTATTTATAATCGTGTTAAAAACACGTTATCCTGAAATAATGAGCGAGATTATGAACATAAATAATATAACTGATTAAACCAATAACTATTAGATTTAGTTATCAGGTACCATTGATGACTCTATAATATAAACAGTATCCTACTTGTTTGTTGCGTACTTTAAAACAAAAAAATAACATCTCTCATTTACGCCAAGAGATGTCGCTACGTGAAAATTAGCTCGCGCTATTATGATTCATATAAATCGGAGAAAGTACATCCCGTTATTTCGATTAGTCTAACGCACCGCAAATGATTAGCTAAGTAAATAAGGTAGAAGAGGTTATTTTTAAGCTAACTAATTAAAAGAATATTGGTTTTATTGGAGTTTCCTCAATGCTTTTAGGGCCGATATTTCAATCGTCAGTAAACTACTGTATCTGAAGAATGAAATTGCCAACAATTTCAGTACAGAAACTGTCAAGAGTCAAACATTCTGCAGTAAAATAATAGTAATAGTGTCACACAGTACTTGATACCACTCGTATATTGGCTTGGGAAGAGCAGTGTTCTAGAAGGCTATAATACATATTAATGTTATTCAAATGTAGCAGTGATGGAATTCTAAAGGATATCCGTTAATGGCGTAGTTTAGCTGATATAAAAAACAAATTACAATACACAATGCTCCAAGGAACAACTATGTATTCTTGACTTTTATTTCAGAGCCAGTTTTTATTCCAGTTATTTCCATACAAATTCAGATACAGTATTATTCATATCAATCTCTTATACTGGTCAATGCCTGTCCTGTGATGAAAATAATAAAAGATATCCTTGAAAGTAAGTAAAGTCAAACATGCATGACAATTAATCTGTTTTATTTTTACAATAGACAAGCACAAAGAATTAAATAATGCATAAACCAAACCAAACTGCTGAGAATGGTACCATAAAATGCATTTAAAATTTATGTTATGCCATCCAAACTTCAAAATACATGGTAATCAACCTGGTGAAAATAATAAAAGGACAATTTTCTAGCAATAGGCCATAGGACAGCCTGATGAATAAATAAATAGAACCTGTAACTTTATATTGTCTGTTATCTATCTTCTTGTCATTACAAATATTGATATTGTCTTGAAGCAAACATCTGATAAATTAATTCTAGCTGTGTATTTAAACTTCTGTGTTTATTTTAATTTTGCATCTCTATTCTGTAATTGAGTATAATAAATTGTGTTTCAGTGCTTCACCATTATTGGTAGCTAAAGAAAATAGTCTGGAGGCCAGCGAGTTGAAATAAAATGCTGCCTTTCACTTTTGCAGGCTTAAGACAAAATGACAACCAATGGATTTATGTAACTATGGATTTGGATAGTTTTAAATTAAGACTTTTGAATCATAAACCATATTTAATTTTATTATGTCCAGTGGAAAAAAAATTATTTATAGGTCTGTTGACAGCTGAATGAGATTATATTTAGGTAATTATCTACTAGGTACCTATCATAATAAATTATTTTATTTGTGAAGTTTTCAATGAATTGACTTGTTATTATCATTAATGTGATTTCATGATGAGTGATGGAGTATCATGTGTTTTTAGATACCAATAGGTATACGTAATAAATAAATAAAAAATAGGTATATGTGTCATAATTTCATTAATAATTTTGTACTCATCCAGCAGCATTTATTTTGTTTGAATAATGAAGTATAAAAAATAGTAGATTCACTTGATTCCCTATAAACTAAACCTGCACAAGAAATATTTACTGCAATGTTGAATGAGATACCAATAAGAAACTTATTGGAATTATCAAAACCTGATCAAAAATAAATGATAAATCATAAACTCACCCATCAGTTGTCACTGAGTTCAAGGACAGTGTGTCAGGAAACGTCATCTCGTGATCCTCGAGTGGGGGCTTCGCTTCGGGCTTGACGTCTCCCTCCCCTGGGGCGTCTTCTGGCAAACTTGGAGGCACATTCTCGTCCACCCCACCCACTTTGTTACTAACATTGTGCAGACCAGACAGGTCCACCTGCGAGTTCACTTCACCCTCACCCTGAAGAGCCTCAGACACCACCAAAATGAACAGAGCACAACTGCAATAAGAAAAACACATTAGCTAACAGAATCTAATCATAAAAATAATGTCCTATGACACACACTCACCTAGACAACACTGAAATAGTCAGCAACGACGTATAAATTAAGCACAGTCCACCCTTCATCGTAATATTAGTGAAATATCTACAGTACAGTACATTTTGTGCGTAAAATTAACACATATTCACAGCGGCCTTAAAATCATCGACAGACACGAATAACATACATTATTTAGCACGTTACTAAAACTACTAATTCATTGATACATTTGTTAATTAATGTAATGCTAAATCCAGCTGTTTTCCACGAGAAACGTTAAAAATGGGGGAACAACTTTTTATAATTTTTACTGCTGAATAATTTTGACACTGATGACAGTTTTATTTTTTGGGGTCTTTTGTAATCTGAAATAGGGCTCATTTCATCTTGAAGCTGATTGGTGATTTGAAACTGTTTTCATTGATCCCCCGAATTGCACCAATGAAAAGTAAACATTTAGTACAATAAAGTAGATGGATTGGCTAACCCTCTAATCCATATCTGTGGGCTAACCTCTTTGGTATGTATTCCGTTTCATGCAGTGAACGATATTTCAAATCAATGCATAATTATTTTTTAATACTTGTCACTTTGTACTGTTCCATTAAAATAACGGTTCAATAATGTAAAGTAGCGTTTAACATAATTAAAAGATTTGAATAAAATACAAAGTTATTTATTTACGTAAAACGATTGACTCATGCTCATACATAGTATTAAGTTAAGGTATGAATTATTGTATTACGAAACATAAATTGACGTAATACCCATTTTGGCGTTTTCCAGGACTACTGTCAACCATTGATAGTTCGCTCAGAGAGACACTTTCACAAAATTCTAAATTGTGCATTTACCGATAACACCTGGAAACGGGCCTCTCTCCCTGTGCGTTTCGGAGGGCTAGGCACACGTCAGATATCGCATATTTCCCTTCCAGCTTTTCTGTCCTCTGCGTATGGTACAGCCGAACTTTTTAATAAATTACTATCCCCTTCTTTAAGGGTAGTGGAGTTGGTTCACCTCGCAGAGGCCAGAAATGCTTGGACTAGGGCATGCCCAGGAGCCGATCCACCTACCTCTCTATGCCTCTGAAAATGCAGCGGAGTGTGCTTACCTAAGTACCAGCGGTCTTTCAGACAGAGTCCGGTTATTGGCTACATGCTCTTCCTTCATCCAATATCGGGACTCTGCTTAACAGGAGTACGTCTCTTGCCATTTCTCTTAGACTTGGCGTCAAGACAAACCATTCCCATCTCTGTCGTTGCGGTACTCGCGTTCGTGAGTTAGGAGCTTAGGAGAACACAATGGCTTCTCATGCCAAATGAGCGCTGGTCAAGTCTCCCGACACGCCGATAAGTAATTTTTAAGTAACTATTAGTTTTTTGTAAATATATTATACAATTGTTTATTATAAATTAATTTTCTTAATATGTAACATTATTTTCCCATAGTTATTTAATTTTTAGCTTTAAGAGTTGCATCTGAAACTAATTAGATTTTTTAAGTTATTTATTTGTTTATGGGATAAATAACTATGACTATTATTTTCCCATTCGTTAATTTTGACTATTTTTTTTAAATAAAGTTAATAAAGTAAACCACAGCGTATTATTTATTAACATGTCAAGTTTAAAAAGGAACAAATTAAGTAACTATTCCAAGACACTGTTATTTTTAAGACCTGTTCCCGGAATTAGCTCTCATAGTAACTCACATCTCTACAACGCAACGTTTACCGGCAACTGTCATTAATGTCATCGACGTCAACAGCAAGCTATCGTTTGGATTTCTGATTTGCCGGATAGTAAATTAGAATTTACAAAAATGGAAGCATTATTTGCATTACCATTCACTGTTCTTGAAATACCAAATATAAAGATCAAAAAACCATCATGGCTTCAAGCACCTTCAGCCATGACGACTTTCTCACTGGTACTTTTATCGTACTTTTTGGTAACCGGAGGTTAGTGGCGTCAACTTATCTGTTTCCTATAAGAATCTAGTTGAACTCTATTGAAATAAGATATTTAATAATAAATTTAGATAAGTATGGTATCAGTAATTTACCGAAATCTCTGTTGCAGGTATAATTTACGACGTGATCGTAGAACCTCCTAGTGTTGGCTCAACTACCGACGAGCATGGTCACAGCAGGCCCGTAGCTTTCATGCCAAACAGAGTGAATGGACAGTACATCATGGAAGGACTTGCATCCAGCTTTCTGTTCTCTCTAGGAGGCCTTGGATTCATCATTCTAGACCGCACTCACAATCCATCCACCCCCAAACTAAACCGAATCCTCCTCATCTCCGTAGCATTCCTGTGTATCCTTGTCTCTTTCTTCACAACCTGGATCTTCATGCGTATGAAACTGCCAGGGTACTTGCAGAATTAATTCCATTAATTATAAGCATGTGTTTTTCACAAATTTTTATTTGAGACTTTTATAATAAGTTTGATAAATATATTTTATATTATAATAAGTTCATGTTTTATTGTTATCATTGATTAGCTCCCTGTCAAGACTACAAATTAGAGTTAGTGTAGGTACAAGGATTTTTACTTTCTGTGTCTGTAATGATGCTGTTAGCATCATTACAATAAAATATGATTGATTTATACTCAAGAAATTTGAAAGTAAAAGATCCTCATTATCTAATTCAATCAAAGAATTTAAATAAATACTGTGCTGATTAGAAAATACTTGTGGGTATCTCAAAATAAAAGTATTGCAGAGAAAATACAAAAGTATACAATGCTCTTACATAATATTTATTCAAACAAATATTTGGCAGTAAATATTACAATACAAATTGATCCTAAAAACTTGTGACATTATANCGAGTGTATTTTTTCACTAAAGTTAAATATAATTTAGGAGATTAATATTACATAAAGATTACTTAATAAATTATGATAATTAATATAATTGTAAATAAAATAATAAGGAAGACATCATCAGGTAAATAAATGCATTCACAGTAAATGTAATGTCTGCCCCATCTAGGGGACATAGGACCTTAAGTGAAGTCACATATTATTATTACAATATTTCATAAAAATTGAGATTTTTACTAAGAGATTACATTGAGCCTCAATAAATGGCAATGAGTAAGATAACAGAAGATCTAATTAACTATGGTTTAACCAGAGGTTTCCATAAAAAGGTGAGCAATGTTGGATGGACTACACCTTAGTAAAAATGTTTATTTACTTATTTTTGAGTATTTCTTCAAGACTATTTCACAACCTTATCCTGAATGAGCTGAAATGAGAATAAAAGTTTTATTATAAATACAAACGAAGATATACTTACTGATAAATGATTTTACTAAAAAAACAAAATTAAATACTGTCATTAGACCATGTTAGCAATTACCTCAATTACAAATTAGGCCTTTTAAGAATAACAATAATAATTATCCCTATTAGGCAATTAATGTCTGATTCTTCTTTTTTTTCTTTGAATAGTTTAGTGACCAAGTACTTATAAAATCAAAAACAATAACAGGAAAACCTTTTCACTTACTGACAAAAATCTGAACTCTTGTCAATGATATGCTCAAACTCAGCGAATGAGAGTGCTCCATCGTCATCCAAATCAGCCTCTTCCAGAACGTTCTGCACCAACTGCTGAATTTCCGAGTCACTGAGCTTTAAGTCCGGACCACACAAACGCTCAATAACTTCACGGAGGTCCGACACTCCTATCATGTCATCTCCATCAAAGTCTGAAAAGTTTAAATTGTGTGCCATTAGGGTATCAAAATAGAAAGAGTAGAGACTTGGTATTCAGAATCAGGAAGTAATAATACTGGTACTGGATCTAATAACCAGCTCCAACAGTATGTATTTTGTGCCTTACTGAGTTTTAGTATTCTTTAGTTAAACTCACTATTTATCATGCTAGAAACCTGTTATAGTGATAGGGATTGGAGTAATCAGAAAATATGGATAAGAAGATATTTGAAAAGTCTATCAGATACAAATTGTATCTGTATCTCTATAAAAATCCTATTTCTGTCAGTTATTCTATCTAGCAATATAAGAGGTTTTATTTCTCTTTTGTAGTAAGGCTTACCAAATATTCTAAATGCATGCTCAGCCTTCACCGCCTTTGGCGCCATTTCACTGAACACCGACATCATATCGAGAAAATCTTCAAAAGTACAGTCCCCATCATTACTAGAGCTGAAAACTTTGCAGATTCTATCTCTGAAGGGGTTCACCCGAAGCTCAGGATACTGGAGTATCTTAGCCATCGGTAGCTTAGCATTTTTATTGTGGCCGACTTTCTCTGGGGCTAACGCTTTGAATTTCTGGTGCGCACTAAAAAAAATTTTGAATGAAACTCAGAGAAGACTCAAGTCACGAAAATGGCTATATTTTTGGTAAAATTTGAATACTTACTACAGAACCTCCTTCTTCGTAAAGTATGTTAGATCCTGAAACAGAATTGGAGGTCAATGAATCACAGTTTTATTAGAAGTCTAAACAAAGGTGGTCCCTTCCTTACATACCTCGTAATCTTGTAGTTCTTCTTCGGTAAATTGACTTTTCCCTTGGCCCATTTTCAGCAAAATGGGAGGTAATCAAATTACTTCGCTGTTTGGTTTAATAGATCGTAATAAAAGTCAAGATTTCTTAATTTTTATGCATTAAATTCAACTATTCTTTACAAAAACAAACAGCCAGCCAGCCAGTTTGATTGATAATGACATTGACAGCTCAACCGCTGTCAGTTCAGTTCAAGTTCACGAAACATATTTTTTTTTGGCAAAGATAACGTTTTCTATATTTTTTAAACTGGAAACTAGATATAATTAAATAAATATTATCTTTTAATTTTTATTTTCCATAGTTGTGGTGGAGTTGTGATCATTTTCTGAAAACACACAAAAACAATACATTAAAATTCCATAAAAAACACCAACTTTACCATGACTATTTTGCTTACCTTTACTTTCACGTCTTGTAGAGGCAAATATAGAGCCTCTCTTGTAAGGTCCTCCTGGTAACAACTCACAGAGGACTGGGTGTTTTGACTTGCAAGCTACAGACCGCCATGTCCGCTGGCGAGTGATCAGGGCACAATCATACTGGGCAGCATATCGACGTGGGTGCCCTGGAGCCCACGCGCGGTAGGTCGTGCAGTCTAGGGCATCCCCTGAAAAATTCTTATCTTGTATTGGTAATCTTGATTCTAGGATATAGGTAGGTCTTGATCATGCTATTTAACTTCCTTTAAGCTCAATGATTTAAAATTTTAACGATGACCTAGGTACCATTCAAAGTTCGAAACATGCTCTCATTATTCCTCCTCATTCCCACCAAAGCAGCGTCCACTGAAGCGCCAGCCAGCAACTGAGCCAAGGAATCTGTTCGCTGCTCACTGGTGACGTCAGCCAGCACTGCGCTGATGTTCTTACACTCTTGCGCAGCTTGGCTGAAGTTGTGCCGGGCAGGTAAGAGGCAGAACATGCCGGTGGCTGGGACGCATGTCGCATTCACATTCGCTGTAATAATAATATGTACACAAATAAGTAGGTAGGATAGAATAACTACAAAATAGAAATGAACTGCGCCATAATTTAATCGTATCCGTCTTATAATTTAATAAGTTTATTCGTTCTGGACAAAGGCTTTCCCTAAGGATGTCCACACGACCTGTCCTGCCCTGCCCCGGGTACTTCCCGAGACCTTCACCAGATCGTCAATCCACTAGTTCTTAAGATCCTTCGTCTTACTTCCTTAGAATAAGTAGGCAATTGCCTACTCGTAGATTTAGTTTTATTCAGTGGAGGTTTAAAGTTTAAACTTAAAATAACTGACAAGAAAGAACAGACAACTTATTAATAACTTACGTATAGGTCTTGCATAGATACTATAGTAGTCATATCTCGTGTCATTCACCAGGGACAGCCCGCCATCCGCTTCAGCACACTTCAGGACTTCGCAAGTGTAATCCAGTGGTTCATCACCAGATTTCCAGGCATCTGGTGGGCTGAAGTTCAACGCTAAAGCCTTCTTCTCGATGCCAAGTCTCTGGCAGCTGGTCAAGGTGCTATAGTTTGCTTTCGCTGCTATGCCAAGTTTGGACCGGTGGCATTTCTCCATGAGGTGGTATTTGGGAGCGCGCGGTGGAGAGTCACTTGAACACCTCATGTTTGCAGTGTTGGGTGATGTGGCTATGGCAATGATGAGGAGTGATAACAAGTGGTTCATTGTAGAGTTTGACTTATTTCAGACAGTGTAGCTTTAATCCAGTGGTTTCCAGTTTCCAATCCACTTGATGTTAGGATACATTTTTGACTAGTGGCCGTTTTTTTTACTGAACTAAGTACCTCTGAGTGTGACTGAGAGGCTGAGTAAGTACCAGTTCTGTTTTATGGTATGTGATAGCGGAAATAGGAACTGACTGAACCTCCATGACAATATGATTGGAAGATAATTAGATGATTATTGTCCCGCATACGAATGAATGACTATTAACAAGGTTGTTGAATTGTTGAAAAGCCATGAGGTATCAATCATACCTACTCATTTTATAATCAATTACTTAATTACGAAATTTTGGTGTGCAGCTGTGAATGATTTATTAACCCCCTGATAAAATACGCGGAATAGTTCACTGGTAGAAATCGCCATAAACAAATGGTTGTTTCAAAAAAGTTTGCATTGTGTGGGACCGTTATAAAACCTTTAAACACTGTCTGAAAAACTAATCAAATGCCTCAGTTCGAAAAAGCGTCAAATCTAGACGTTCAAACAGTTGTCATTTATTTGGAGATGTCATTTTACTTCGCAAACTTTAGTGAGAATAAATATTAGATTTACATTCGTTACGTACTAGTGTTTAGTTTATTTTTAGACAAAATGGGTTGTTTTTACTCTAGAAGGATGGAGGAGGTGAGTCTTGAATGTTTTTGTAATGTGTGAATAGAAAGGAGCATACCTTCTGCTGTTCCTGTAATCCTGTCAAACTCCTTAAATGTCAAGGCAAGTGCACCTAGGGTCGCTATTCGGTACCTACAATCTATAATAATCTACGAATAGGTAGTCCAGAGTGAGGATCTGTAAATAAAAACGTAACTTCATTTCATAGATCTTTTATTTACAGAATGTTCTAAATCCTTAACGACTTTTTTCTGACTTTAAAGGGTAAAAGAGTAGACTTTAAGAAGTCAGTGATGATTTTGTCAATGAGTCAGAAAATTATTAAGATTAATTAAATTATTCTCTTCTTCATTCCAACCACCCCATATTGTACCTACTTTAAACAATCCCTATCCAATCCCTATGGCAGTTCTTAAACTCTATCCAAATTCCAGGAAGAAATGGTATACGACATGTCCCCCATTCGGCATTTGCCGGTTATCTTCGTAAATGGCGTGCCAGGTGCAGGGAACCACACGGTGGCGCAGACCATCTCCAATATCACCGGGTACACCATGATCAGGCCTGGCGAGCTGGTGGCTGCAGAGGCTCTGAAAGACACAGCTAGAGGCCGGCTGATTGCTGACAAACTGCAGGCCAGGGAAGATATCCCTGAGGTTTGACGAAGTCTTTGTTTTTTCGTAGGTTAAGGAATTTGTTTTTTATTTTATGAAGGCTCATTAAGGAAAGCTAATGTCCGTTTTCACCATCAATCCTTATGTGACCCCTATGGTAATAAATTACAGGAATTTTGTTTTCAAAGGGGTCACTTAAAAATTAGGTGTTGATGGTGAAAACGGGCATAAGTCTTATAGAAATAAGAAATAGAAATACGTAAAGGAAAGTTTGTTTGTCATTTTCGCCGCATAGCGCCGTATCCAGCGGTAAGAGCAAACTCACACCTCCGTGTTTTTGTGCTCTGTAAGTTCGGCACTTGTTTCTATAAAACGTGATTACAATAATTAACTTTCTGATCTTGGAGTAAATATTTAAAAACACTAATAAAGAAGACATTTTTTATGTATGGTCATAGGCGTATTGCAGCAGAAGCTCAGTCCTATAGCAACTGACATAGTTAATCATAGCTCATCCGTTATTCCAGCAACTGACAGTGGACCTAATAAAGGAGGCGATGCTGATGCACCAGGACGCCAGCGGCTTCATCCTGGTGGGCTTCCCGAAGAATCCGCGCATGTCCAACATGTTCAACCGGCAGGTCAAGTGGCCCGAGAAGATCGTGGCGCTTGAAGTTGACAACGAGGTATGTTTACATCTGCCTGCAGTTCCTATATTATTACACAACGCGCACCTAGGTCTAGTTCTGTCTGTCACTCTTAGAAGAGGGAAAATGTCTAGGTTTGAATATCAACTTGTAGAAAGGATCTATGGTTTGATCTGACCTAAGTGACTAAAAGGAACCCTTATGGCTGAGGCCAAACGAGTAGGTAATAATATTACTTACACTCGTTTGGCCTCAGCCATAAGGGTTCCATTTATGACTTTTATTAAACGTTTTTTGAGTCTACACAAAAGTTCTGTAATTAACTTTACAACGACGCAAAATGTGTTGGAATTTGAACATTTATCTACGGAAATTACGCTCGATTGGCATTAGCCTAATCAACGTTTTGAACAAGTAAATCTATGCATTAGGTACTTTAATAACGCCGCGCGTCGCGTGCAACTTACGCAGCTGATGCTCAAAAGAGTCATTATACTAATCTTCTCCGACTGTTTCATTCAGATGACATTTAAGATGGTTGTCCAATTCAGGTGGCCGCAACAAGACTTCAAAACAAACTGTCAGAGCTGGGCAGACCAGAGTCGGAGATCAATGCGGCGCGGCAGATCGTCCGGGAAGCGGCGCACAAAGTCAAAAACGTACACAAACGGTTCGGAGGGCACGTGGTTACGGTAAGTAACATATTCTGGAATTTTCTAGAAGATTAAAAAACATGAAAAGTATTTTAGCACTGACTTATAAGTCTTTATTATAGATCTAGAGGCTAACTCTAGTCAGAGCCTAAGGTGAGGGAGCGGCAGGGGAAGGTGTTTTTACGACATCAATTGTCCGCAAGACTTCAAAATGTGCTTTAGATTTAGTTACCTATGTTTGCTCTATTCCATCATAATATGTCAATGTCACCCCTCTAGTGCCGCTACTTAAAGATTTGTAGCTTCGTATTTGTTAGCTTCTATACTCCTCATGAGCACTTGGTTCCCACAAGCGAAGAGATAACTTTTTGCTTCAGCGTAGAGTAAAAAGCAGGCGTCTATTAAAACGCTCAATAATCCTTCCATTCTTTCAGGTTGACAGCACGGGGAATCCCAAAGCGTTAGCGTCTACCCTCAAAGAAATCCTCTCAGACACGATCGAGAAGAGTCAAAAGCGCAGCGAGTCCCCTGACCCACGGCCCCCCACGGCCATGTCGGCCCCCGCCGTGGCCCCCCTGGCGTGCCCCATGGCCAATCTCACGTGTCCTGTGACCCCCACTGATGCCCCTCCAGCCGATACAGTCGACGTAGAAAAGTGATTTCGTAGATGTTTTGAATTTTGGTATTACATGTTAATGTTTGTATATTTGGGCATTTCATTTAAACTTTCCTTAGGTAGGTTCGTTAGAGACAATGTAGATTGGATCTTTTATTTCCATCTCGCCCTATCGAGATCCTCCACCGAGAGGCGGTGGATGGCACTAACTAGGTGGCGTTTTACCAGCCTGGTGCCCAATGACATCAGTCATCATGCCGGGAGCTGATGGAAAGAGAATAAGGACAAAGTAAGATACTTCCGCAGGAAAACTAATAGGTAGTAACAGAATAAAAACATTTTAATTAAATAGTTAAAATTATCATTAATATGTACAGATTGTCTAAAGCAAAGCTCGCTCAGTTGGCGGCGGCCGCCTTTGCTACGATTGGGTCGAGGATCTTCTGCACCTCGTCGAAGATCTGGTCCACTGACGTCTCCGCGTTTATCTGGAAAAGGAACGTCGGAAGTCTTAAATAACCAAGGTCTATTGGCACGAAATATCACGACAGATATTTATTTATATTTCATGCACATAATCTCTGTACATTGGTGGACTTAATGCCGGGTGGCATTCTCTACCAGACTCCTCCTTCAGATACAATAGTCAATTCAGAGTCCTGGTTCAGAAAAATCCCAGTTAGACTAAATTCAAATTCTTAATTTTTTCGAGGTTTGGTATTATAAGCAGTGGTATTAGTGTTATGCACTCTGTTTCAACCAAAGAACAGCCACAGCTGGACAAACAGCTGGATGCGCACCACTGCTCGCATCCAGGTGCCTTTCGCGACCTTTTTGTGCCCAAAAATTTCTCAGAAAGAAGATGCTCGCGCACTCTCCTTAGTTTGTCCGGATACTGCGATAAGACCTGCTCGTTGTTATCCAGGAAAGTCTTGAGGCGTAGCTTAATGGTGTCCTCATTGTCGTCATCGCGGCTCGAGCGCCCAACCAAGAGGATAAATAACTGAACTTACTGTAGATTCTCACTTATCTCAGCTTCCCCATTAACCTTGCTCGTTGTTGCGAGGACTTTGACTAGTCAAAGTGATCCTTTGTTCCTTCAAAGGATCATGAATCACGATAGAACACGCGAAGAGTACGTTAGATCCTTACCCTTCTATGTTTGTCCGGGTACTGCGACAAGACCTGCTCGTTGTTGTCCAGGAAGGTCTTGAGGCGTAGCTTAATGGTGTCCTCATTGTCGTCATCGCGGCTCGAGCGCCCAATCAAAAGGATAATAACTGAACTTACTTTCTCACTTATCTCAGCTTCCCCATTAACCTAACTCTTTGTTGCGAGGACTTTGACTAGTCAATGTGATCCTTTGTTCCTTCAAAGGATCATGAATCACGATAGAACACGCGAAGAGTACGTTAGATCCTTACCCTTCTAAGTTTGTCCGGGTACTGCGACAAGACCTGCTCGTTGTTATCCAGGAAGGTCTTGAGGCGCAGCTTCATGGTGTCCTCGTTATTGTCAGCGCTGCCCGAGTTCCCGTTCAAGAGGATACATACTCAACTGAATTTACTTTAGTTAGATGATTGTTTATCTCAGCTACCCCAGTAACCTTTTTGTTGTTGCGAGGTCTTTCGACTAGTGGTAAAAGTGGTCTTTTACCACTAGTCGAAAGACCTCGCAACTAAAGAGGATCAAAGGATCATGAATTACGATAGATCATGCGAAGAGTACGTTAGATCCTTACCCTTCTAAGTTTGTCCGGGTACTGCGACAAGACCTGCTCGTTGTTGTCCAGGAAGGTCTTGAGGCGCAGCTTAATGGTGTCCTCATTGTCGTCGGCGCGGCCCGAGTTCGCCGCGCGGCCTAACAGGCGCTTAGTCAGCGTCTCTGAGGACGCCTCGAAGTAGATTATCACCTGGAACGAGCATTGTTACTTTAAGAAAAAAGCTAGACTTCTTGATAAAGCGAGATTAGGTAACTCCTCTAGAGTAGGTATCTTTTTCAGGCGTTTTTGATAGCTGCGTGTATGTATTAAGCTCCCCACTAGCTATACCTCTCGTCATCGCCGTGTGGTTCCGGCAGATGTCCAGCCACCCTATAAAGCGAGACTAGACCCTACTCTATTGTATCGTTTTCTTTGGAGACGTTTTTGATAGCTAAATACACGCATTAGGCTTCCCGTTAGATGTGATTCCGGTAGAGTAAGTCCCCACCCCTATTCTTCACGTGGATGTCATCAGATCAGAGTCCACAGGCTCGTCTTACCAAGAGTGGCTAAAACCTCAATTTGCACCTGGATTACCAGGATCTTGTTCCTGCAGTTGATGCTTGTATCTTACCGTAACTGGCGCGATGGTCTTCTCGAAGGCGATGCCCTGCGACTTCTCGCGCGGGTAGCCGTCCACCAGGAAGCCCTTGGCCTGCTCCGCGTGCGCGATGATCGCTTCCTTCAGCAGCTCCAGCACCACGTCGTTGGGGACCAGCTCACCTGGAATCAAATACCAATGACATATAAAAAGTGTACTTTTTTGGGCGTTAGAGCGCCCAACACCCGAAGAGATAGCGCCTGACTGACTGCCATGTATGTATTTTCTCACTCAAAAAATGTACAAGTTCTAGTTTCTACTCAATTCGCGCGAAGATTTCTTCGCCACTCTCTTCGTCTAGCGCGTACCTATATCCATCTAGCTTCGCGTTCGCGAAAGTATGAACCATAATAATTCTGTCATCTACGAGATAAGACTCAATGGGTGCAAGGAGTTTGCTTTGTGTGCATTATCTATCATCGTCCCTATTTAGTTACTTTTTCCCAGAAGCCTGATAGTATCGATGAACTACCTTGATGATGATGATGCTATACCTACCCCGCTCCATGACGGAGGTGAGGNAGTCCTGCGCTGCCCGCATTCAGGTTCTTCCCGCGACCTTTACCAGATCGTCGGTCCACCTAGTAGGAGACCTACCCACGCTACGTCTTCCAGCCCGTGGTCGCCACTCAAGAAATTTTCTGCCCCAATGGCCATCGTCTCTACGAGCTATGTGTCCCGCCGCCCACTCCCACTTGATTTTAGCAATTCTGCGTGCTATGTCGGTCACTTTGGTTCTCCTGCGGATCTCCTCATTTCTGATTCGATCACGCAGGGAAACCCCGAGCATAGCCCGCTCCATCGCCCTTTGGGTGACCTTGAGCCTTCTTATGAGGCCCATAGTAAGCGACCACGTTTCAGATCCTTAAACTTTCCTATTTATTTCACGACTAGCTTATTATATCTGCGGTTTCACCCGCGTGAAATTCAGTGTCACAGATCGGCATAAATTATAGCCTATATGGTAATCTGGGTTACAAACAATAATATTGTACAGTTTCAACAAAATCCGTTGAGTACTTTTTGCGTGAAAGAGTAACAAACCTGAGACACAGGAATCTTCCTAGTTCAGGTATCAACTCACCAACGTCCAACATTCTTACTTTTTATTTTTCCTGATTGTTTGTTATTATCAATATGTGTTATAATATTATCTGTTATGTTGGTGAGAAATAAACATGACTTTACTTTACTTTAAACATCCAGACATCCAAACTTTCGCATCCGTGACTTCGTACGCGTGGACCTCGTTTTACTCCATTAGGGGTGGAGTTTCGTATAATCCGCTTTTAGCATCTATAGCTCATAAATAAATTTAAAAATGGCTTAATAGTGCACAAAATTGGCAATAGGTGGCATAATAATGGTTACTTTTGGGTTTGAAATGTGATTGAACGATGACAACTAACAACAGTTGTCAGTTGGGTAAAATTTTATTTTATTTGGAAAAAGACAAAAAGTGCTAAATGGGTTAACGTGTGGGGGCTGAAAAATCATGTTGTGACGTCACGCGCGAATATTGGAAATTTTTGAAAATTTAAAAAGGTCCGTAAACTTCTCGAGGCTCTATCTTCGGTAATACTGGATGGATTGAGGTGAAATAAAAACTAGTGTAATGTATGTGATCTAAACTTTAAATTAAATCATAAATTAACTTAATATTACAACTTATGCGTGTTGTCCATTATACGAGTACTCAACAGAATCAGGCAACTTTCTAACGTTAATGATGAATAAGAGCTTTTAAATTTAAGTCTCTTGGGTGCTCAAAATTAAGAGGACTTGTGGAAGGATTTAGTCCAGAAAAGCTCCAATTAAACTGAAACGGGATCAAGAGTATAACAAGTATAACTACAGCGAATATTCCAATTTAAGTATGCTATTAGAATACGAACCGAGATTAATACGAACGAAGAATCAAGCATCCGAAAAAGAAAAAACTTAAATTATCATCACACCATTATTTAAATCCAACGTAAAAATAAGTTTTACAAAACAATACAAACTTTACTTTGCAAGATTGTTAATTATTATAATGCGCAACTGGACCTAAAATAATGAAATCCGATGCAATACCGATTCTCCAAGCGAATATTTGCTGAAGGCTTCGCGTAGAAAGTGTATGCGCGCGCGCCGATGTTCGGCAAACGCGATATTTGACATACGCAAATAGATTAGCAGAAATATACGTTGACAAAACAATAGCTAAAATTAATCTGAAAAGAATAATAGGTAATTGTCCTAAAACTCTCATAAAAATCATTAAAAAAAACTCGTAAAACTCATTTATTTCTGTAAATAGGCTTAAAAAAAGCACTTTTAAACTAAGAAAAGCTACATAAATGATGATAAGATAGAGACATTCAGTTGAGATTTCAGTGACATATTTACTGGGTTAAAATTCAAGGTGATATCTATTTACCAAAACCAGATATCAAGGAATTATTTAGTGCATGACATGACATTATAAGTATAAGCAGGCCTGGCTCACTCCGCGCNATCGAGAAAATCTTCAAAAGTACAGTCCCCATCATTACTAGAGCTGAATACTTTGCAGATTCTATCTCTGAAGGGGTTCACCCGAAGCTCAGGATACTGAAGGATCTTGGCCATCGGTAGCTTAGCATTTTTATTGTGTCCAACTTTCTCTGGCGCTAACGCTTTGAATTTCTGGTGCGCACTAAAAAAAATTTTGAATGAAAAGTCACGAAAATGGCTATATTTTTGGTAAAATTTGAATACTTACTACAGAACCTCCTTCTTCGTAAAGTATGTTAGATCCTGAAACAGAATTGGAGGTCAATGAATCACAGTTTTATTAGAAGTCTAAACAAAGGTGGTCCCTTCCTTACATACCTCGTAATCTTGTAGTTCTTCTTCGGTAAATTGACTTTTCCCTTGGCCCATTTTCTTAATTCGGTAATCAAATTACTTCGCTGTTTGGTTTAATAGATCGTATTAAAAGTCAAGATTTCTTAATATTTATGCATTAAATTCAACTATTCTTTACAAAAACAAACAGCCAGCCAGCCAGTTTGATTGATAATGACATTGACAGCTCAACAGCTGTCAGTTCAGTTCAAGTTCACGAAACATATTTTTTTTGGCAAAGATAACGTTTTCTATATTTTTTAAACTGGAAACTTTAGATATAACTAGCTGACCCGGCGAACTTTGTTCCGCCCTAATGGCAATAAATAAGCAGACTTTTTTTATTTCGAACGGGATAAAAAGTATCCTATGTCCTTCTCCTGGCTATAAACTACCTCCCTGACAATTTTCAGCTAAATCGGTTCAGCCGTTCTTGAGTTATAAGCGAAGTAACTAACACGACTTTCTTTTATATATATAGATTAAATAAATATTATCTTTTAATTTTTATTTTCCATAGTCGTGGTGGCGTTGTGATCATTTTCTGAAAACACACAAAAACAATACATTAAAATTCCATAAAAAACACCAACTTTACCATGACTATTTTGCTTACCTTTACTTTCACGTCTTGTAGAGGCAAATATAGAGCCTCTCTTGTAAGGTCCTCCTGGTAACAACTCACAGAGGACTGGTTGTTTTGATTTACAAGCGACTGAGCGCCAGATCCGCTGCCGGGTGACCAGGGCACAGTCATACTGGGCGGCATATCGTCGTGGGTGCCCCGGAGCCCATGCGCGGTAGGTCGTGCAGTCTAGGGCATCCCCTGAAAAATTCTTATCTTTTAGTTAACCAATCTTGGTATCTTTTAGGTAATCTTGATCCTAGGATCTAGGACTTTGTCAGGATTTAAGTCTAGATCAGTGGTTCTTAACCGGTGGTCCGCGGACCACTGGTAGTCCCTGGAGGCATTCCAAGTGGTCCACGAAGACATCGTAATAAACAAGTGACGTGACGTGATGAGTCGAGTCAACACAATGCAAACGGCGCACAGTGGGCGAGAAACCCTTTCATAGGATTTTGACAAGTCCCTGACAAGACAGAAATTTGGTAAAATGGTCCCTCGTGACTTAAAGGTTAAGAACCACTGCCCCCCTAGACAAAACGCACTTTTTGATCGAATCGAAAATCGAATCCGTCAAAACTCCATACAAAAAAGGGGCTTTTCGACCACTTATCGACTGGTTTGCGATTATAATTTGCACTTTGTCTAGACCCACTGGTCTAGATCATTACTTTTTAACATTCTTTAACTCACAATGATTTAAAATTTAACGATGACCTACCATTCAAAGTTCGAAACATGCTCTCATTATTCCTTCTCATTCCCACCAAAGCCGCGTCCACAGAAGCGCCAGCTAGCAACTGAGCCAAGGAATCTGTTCGCTGCTCACTGGTGACGTCAGCCAGCACTGCGCTAATGTTCTTGCACTCCTGCGCAGCTTGGCTGAAGTTGTGCCTAGCGGGTAAGAGGTAGAACATGCCGGTGGCTGGTACGCATGTTGCGTTTACATTGGCTAAAAGTTTAAAGAAGAACTGGATCACGTAATAGGATCTGCATAATAATATAAACAAACGAAAAGATTTAAAGTTTTCTTATGACTTAGTTTGGTTTTATTCTGTGGCCGCTGTTGATAATGACTGCGTAATATGTTTCTACTAATATTCTATTGTTACTAATAAACAACCTTAGCATATCATCGAATATTTAAGTGAATAACAAAGAACTGACTAGAAAGGAACAGACTTTTATTACTTACGAATAGGTCTTGCGTAGATGCTGTAATAGTCATATCTCGTGTCATTCACCAGGGACAGCCCGCCATCCGCTTCAGCACACTTCAGGACTTCGCAAGTGTAATCCAGCGGTTCATCACCAGCTCTCCAGGCATCAGGTGGGCTGAAGTTCAACGCTAAAGCTTTCTTCTCGATGCCAAGTCTCTGGCAGCTGGTCAAGGTGCTATAGTTTGCTTTCGCTGCTATGCCAAGTTTGGACCGGTGGCATTTCTCCATGAGGTGGTATTTTGGGGCGCGTGGAGGGGAGTCACTTGAACATCTCATGTTTGCCGTGTTTTGTGATGCGGCTATGGCGATGATGAGGAGTGATAGCAATTGGTTCATTGTAGAGTTTGACTTATTTTAGACAGTATAGCTTTAATCCATGGCACATAACTTGATGTTAGGATACATTTTTGACTAGTGGCCGTTTTTTTTACTGAACTAAGTACCTCTGAGTGTGACTGAGTGGCTGAGTAAGTACCAGTTCTGTTTTATGGTATGTGATAGCGGAAATAGGAACTGACTGAACCTCCATGACAATATGATTGGAAGATAATTAGATGATTATTGTCCCGCATACGAATGAATGACTATTAATAAGGTTGTTGAATTGTTGAAAAGCCATGAGGTATCAATCATATCTACTCATTCTGTAGTCCATTAATGTCCATTAATTATTTATAATAACCCCCTGATAAAATACGCGGAATAATTCACTGGTAGAAATCGCCATAAACAAATGGTTAAGTTTCAAAAAAGTTTGTATTGTGTGGGACCGTAAAACCTTTAAACACTGTCTGAAAAACTAATCAAATGCCTCAGTTCGAAAAAGCGTCAAATCTAGACGTTCAAACAGTTGTCATTTATTTGGAGATGTCATTTTACTTCGCAAACTTTAGTGAGAATAAATATTAGATTTACATTCGTTACGTACTAGTGTTTAGTTTATTTTTAGACAAAATGGGTTGTTTTTACTCTAGAAGGATGGAGGAGGTAAGTCTTGAATGTTTTTGTATGTGTGAATAGACGGACCATACTGCTGTTCCTGTTATCCTGTCAAACTCCTTCAAATGTCAAAGCAAGTGCTTCTAGGGTCTCTATTCGGTACCTACAATGTACCTGCAAACCTTAATATAATCTACGAATAGGTAGTTCAGAGTGAGGATCTGTAAATGAAAACTAACTTCATTTCATAGATCATAGATCTTTTATTTACAGAAAATCCTTAAACGACGTATTTCTGACTTTAAAGAGTAGAGAGAAGATAGATAGTATTTTACATTATTTGTGTTAACCATACATTAAAAGTCAGTGATGATGAGTTTATCAATGAGTCAGAAAATTATTAAGATTAATAAAATGATTCTCTTCTTCATTCCAACCACCCTATAAACAATCCCTATCCAATCCCTATGGCAGTTCTAAAACTCTATCCAAATTCCAGGAAGAAATGGTATACGACATGTCCCCTATTCGGCATTTGCCGGTTATCTTCGTGAATGGCGTGCCAGGAGCAGGGAACCACACGGTGGCGCAGACCATCTCCAATATCACCGGGTACACCATGATCAGGCCTGGCGAGCTGGTGGCTGCTGAGGCTCTGAAAGACACAGCTAGAGGCCGGCTGATTGCTGACAAGCTGCAGGCCAGGGAAGATATCCCTGAGGTTTGATGAAGTCTTTGTTTTCTCCTAGGATTAGGAATTTGGTTTTTATTTGTTGAAGGCTCATTGAGGAAAGCCGAGTCTCAGAGAAGAATCCACGTAGAAATAAGAAATAGAACTACGTACATTACTTTCGTAATGGAAAGTTTTTTATTTTACGGGGATGTTCGGTCCTTGCATAACGCCGTGTTCGGCGGTAAGAGCAAATTCACACCTCCGTGTTTTTGTACTTATTGCTCTGTAAGTTCGGCACTTGTTTCTTTATAAAGTGATTACAAATTCACTTTCTGATCTTGTTCTAAATATTTAAAAACACTAATAAATGAGTCGTCTAGTTTCAAAACCCGCTAAAACGCTCCTGCAACTAATTTCTGTTTATATTCTCTAAATGATGCTACTGCAATTTTCTCATCATACTGTTCAATCATTTTCGATCAAAATATACTAAAAGAGTACTAAACTAGCACTTAAAATTAGGTTTGTGTTACAAACTCCGCTAAAACGCCGTCCGTTTCTTTCAAAACCCTCTAAAAGTTGATTGACCAATGGTAGCACGGTATTTTGGTCACGTGACTGCGATATCAGTATGGAGATTTTTTTATAACGTGGTTGCTTCATAATTTGCTCTTATCAAATCCCGCTAAAATACAACATGTCCGTTTCAAATCCCATTAAAACCGAATGTTCGTAACAAAATACGCCAAAATGAAAATAGTTTTCATTATAATTCAAATTATATTTAAATTAAAGATAAATAGCAATTACTGTTAGTATTGCCAGATGACAATAATAATTCGTATCATATTTTTTTTTGCCTAATGCCAAAGCTATATGGATAAGCGGTTTTTTTCAATTTCTCGAAATTTTATCAAAATCGTTTTAGCGGGATTTGAAACTAGACGCCTCAAATAAAGAAGGCGGCTTTCACAACTTTTTTATTTAAGGCGATTAGCAGCAGAAGCTCAGTTCTAAAAGTGGCATAAATATTATAGCTCATCTGTTATTCCAGCAACTGACAGTGGACCTAATAAAGGAGGCGATGCTGATGCACCAGGACGCCAGCGGCTTCATCCTGGTGGGCTTCCCGAAGAACCCGCGCATGTCCAACATGTTCAACCGGCAGGTCAAGTGGCCCGAGAAGATCGTGGCGCTTGAAGTTGACAACGAGGTACCTTTACATCTGCAGTCCTATAAATATTTCAGAACGCGCACCTAGGTCTAGTTCTGTCTGTCACTCTTAGGTCACAACATCTACTTAAATGAGAAAGAGGGAAAATGTCCAGGTTTGGATATCAACTTGTAGAAAGGATCTATGGTTTGATCTGACCTAAGTGACTAAAAGGAACCCTTATGACTTTTATTAAACGCGTCATATTATGACGCGTTTTTTGAGTCTACAAAAAGTTCTGTACTGTAACTTCACAACGACGCTACGGAAATTACGCTCGCTTGGCGTCAGCCTAATCAACGTTTTGAACAAGTGAATCTATGCATTAGGTACTTTAATAACGCGCGTCGCGTGCTCCTTACGCAGCTGATGCTCAAAAGAGTCACTTCTATAATCTTCTTTAACTGACTGTCTCAATCAGATGACATTTAAGATGGTTTTCCAATTCAGGTGGCCGCAACAAGACTTCAAAACAAACTGTCAGAGCTGGGCAGACCAGAGTCGGAGATCAACGCGGCGCGACAGATCGTCCGGGAAGCGGCGCACAAAGTCAAAAACGTACACAAACGGTTCGGAGGGCACGTGGTCACCGTAAGTAACATATTCTGGAATTCTAGAAGATTATTTTAGCACCTACTTTTGTAGAAGTATCTATAGATCTAGCTAGCGGCTAATTCAGTCAGTGAATAAGGTGTGGAACCGGCACGGAAAAGTGTTTTTGCGACGTCAAACGTCCGCGAGACTTCAAATGTGTTACAGATTATATGCTCTGCTGTCACGTCATAATAATGAGGGCTATCGTTTTTATTCTTAATAGTTGGCACCCCTGGCGATTGACAGGACCTTACTCTACAGTGGCGCCATCTTGATGAGTGCAAATGCGATAGTCCTCCTACCACTTTAGCGCTCACCAGTTGGTGCCACTGTCTTCGCGACTAGCAAGTGACAGGACCTTACTCTACAGTGGCGCCATCTTGATGAGTGCAAATGCGATAGTCCTCCTACCACTTTAGCGCTCACCAGTTGGCGCCACTGTCTTCGCGACTAGCAAGTGACAGGACCTTACTCTACAGTGGCGCTAACTGGTGAGCGCTAAAACGATAGCCCTCATTATGTCAATATCATCCCTCCCGTGCCGTTCCCATACCTCAGGCAATGACTGAGTTAACTTCACTCCTCCTTAGAGCATGACTGTGTTGCCAAAAGGGAAGAAATAACTTTTTTGTTTTAGCGTAGAGTAAAGAGCAGGCGTCTAATAAAACGCTCAATAATCCTTCCACTCTTTCAGGTTGACAGCACGGGGAATCCCAAAGCGTTAGCGTCTACCCTAAAAGAAATCCTGTCCGACACGATCGAGAAGAGTCAAAAGCGCAGCGAGTCCCCTGACCCACGGCCCCCCACGGCCATTTCGGCCCCCGCCGTGGCCCCCCTGGCGTGCCCCATGGCCAACCTCACGTGTCCTGTGACCCCCACTGATGCCCCTCCAGCCGATACGGTCGACGTAGAAAAGTGATTTCGTAGATGTTTTGAATTTTGGTATTACATGTTAATGTTTGTATATTTGGGCATTTCATTTTAACTTTCCTTAGCTACGTTAGAGACAATGTAGATGGGATCTTTTATTTCCATCTCGCCCTATCGAGATCCTCCACCGAGAGGTGGCCGAGAGGTGGTGGATGGCACTAACTAGGTGGCGTTTTACCAACGGTGGCCAACAGACATCATCTGCCGAGAGCTGATGGAAAGAGAATAAGGACAAAGTAAGATACTTGCGCAGGAAAACTAATAGGTAGTAACAGAATAAAAACATTTTAATTAAATAGTTAAAATTATCATTAATATGTACAGATTGTCTAAAGCAAAGCTCGCTCAGTTGGCTGCGGCCGCCTTCGCTACAATGGGGTCGAGGATCTTCTGCACCTCGTCGAAGATCTGGTCCACTGACGTCTCCGCGTTTATCTGGAAAAGGAACGTCGGAAGTCTTAAATAACCAAGGTCTATTGGCACGAAATATCACGACAGATATTTATTTATATTTCATGCACATAATCTCTGTACATTGGTGGACTTAATGCCGGGTGGCATTCTCTACCAGACTCCTCCTTCAGATACAATGGTCCATTCAGAGTCCATGTTCAGAAAAATACCAGTTAGACTAAATTCAAATTCTTCATTTTTTCGAGGTTTGGTATTATAAGCAGTGGTATTAGTGTTATGCACTCTGTTTCAACCAAAGGACAACCACAGCTGGACAAACTGCTGGATGCGCACCACTGGTGTCCTTCGCGACCTTTCTGTGCCCAAAAATTTTTTATACTCATAAAAAAAAGAAGATGCTCACCCTCCTAAGTTTGTCCGGGTACTGCGACAGGACCTGCTCGTTGTTGTCCAGGAAGGTCTTGAGGCGCAGCTTGATGGTGTCCTCATTGTCGTCGGCGCGGCCCGAGCTCGCCGCGCGGCCTAACAGGCGCTTAGTCAGCGTCTCTGAGGACGCCTCGAAGTAGATTATCACCTGGAATGAGCATTGTTACTGTTATGTATGTGTACGGGGAGAGAACAACCAGCAAACACTTTACAGAAACCAATACTTGTTTTATTTGTCCTTCCAAATATCAATATGTCCAATCAACGGTGCAGTGGTACATGGCCAAGATGAAGAAAAAGTCCCTGGACGGAAACGGAAGCCGCCGAGCTGTCAAGTTCGAGATCTGTCACATAGATAGAGCTGTAACCAGTGTCCAACAGTTACTTTTGTGAGAATAGCTACCCTCAACAGCGACCCCCATTCCTCCCATGATGCGAAGACCACGGCTAATAAACTTGTCTGGAGTGTAGGGGGGAGTATAGGCCCAAGTGCCTAACTAAACATTATAGTCCCTGGATTAGAGGACCTTGTTCCTGCCTGCAGTAGATACCAAATGATCTGAATTAAATATATTCATATCTTACCGTAACTGGCGCGATGGTCTTCTCGAAGGCGATGCCCTGCGACTTCTCGCGTGGGTAGCCGTCCACCAGGAAGCCCTTGGCCTGTTCCGCGTGCGCGATGATCGCTTCCTTCAGCAGCTCCAGCACTACGTCGTTGGGGACCAGCTCACCTGGAATCAAATACCAATGACAAATAAAAAGTGTACTTTTTTGGGCGTTAAGACTTCCACAGACCAAACACAGGTCAGTTGCAGCGCGGCAGTAGGCACACTGAAAGCAGCGCAGTTTCAAAGCAGTTGCAACGCGGGCGGTTGTCAAAAACTTCAATATTCGAAAACCGCTTTCAACGCGCTGCTACCGCCCTGCCTCCGGTGTGTCATGCTAATATGGCCGCCATTGTAGGTAATACAACAGCGCGGGCCCGCGTTCAAATTTGGTGTGACACACTTCAAAGACTTTCTTGTATTACAACTTGCGCGGGCCCGGATTCAAACTGCGCTGCTATTGCCCCGCGTTTGGTCTGCCCAAGCCTTTAGAGCGCCCAACACCCGAAAAGATAGCGCCTGACTGACTGCCATGTATTTTCTCACTCAAAAAATGTACAAGTTCTAGTTTCTACTCAATTCGCGCGAAGATTTCCTCGCCACTCTCTTCGTCTAGCGCGTATATCAATCTAGCACGAATTCGCGTTCGCGAAAGTAAGTATGAACCATAATTCTCTCATCCATGAGATAAGACTCAATGGGTGCAGGGAGTTTGCTTTGTGTGCATTATCTATCATCGTCCCTATTTAGTTACTTTTTCCCAGAAGTCTGATAGTCAGTATTGATGAACTACCTTGATAATGATGATGCTATATACCTACCCCGCTCCATGACGGAGGTGAGGCACTTGGCGCGGTCAGAGCCGCTCTCTCGGCGCGCAGCAGGTCACCAGTCTGATAGTATAAGCCTACAATGATGATAGTCGGGTAATGATGATGATGAGCCAGCTGTACCTACCCCGCTCCATGATGGAGGCGAGGCACTTGGCGCGGTCGGAACCGCAGTAGGTCGCCGGTGGACTTTTACTTATTCTTAAAGAGTCTGATAGTCAGAATAAGTCAACAATGATGATGAGCCAGCTGTACCTACCCCGCTCCATGACGGAGGTAAGGCACTTGGCGCGCAGCAAGTCGCCGGTGGACAGGTGCGTGGACCCGTAGATGCCAAAAGACCACCATCAATCTTTCTAGTCGCTCGCAGATTTTCAGGCAACTCTCCTCTTCTAACGCGTGCATCGATGTCATCGCGATTCAAGACACTTTTGAACCGTAAAATGCCGCAAGAGCGGTACCTCGGCGCGCATCAGGTCGATGGTGGAATTTCACTTCTTTTTATGTCGGATAGTCAGTATAAGCCTACAATGATGATGATGATGATGAGCCAGCTGCACCTACCCCGCTCCATAATGGAGGTGAGGCACTTGGCGCGGTCGGAGCCGCTCTTGACCTCGGCGCGCAGCAGGTCGCCGGTGGACAGGTGCGTGAACCCGTACTTGGCGATGATCTTCTCGCATTGCGTGCCCTTGCCCGAGCCGGGACCGCCCAGGATCCATACGATGGGCTTCTTTGAGGTGTCTACTGGGGCCTGGAATAGCGAAAGCTCGAGTTCAACAGACGAGAGTTGATTGTTTGTCAACAAAATCTACTCACTATTATTCAACTGAAATTATACTGTCAATTATATCCTGAAAGGTGTTGTATAATATCAGCTTTATATTCTAAAGAATACCTATGTAAATACTTAATGGACAGCACATTTGTATTGCAACGTCATACCACTTGTATTTATTACAACTTAAAAGATACCGCAGTGTTTCGCTTTTTGTGCTGTTCGCATCGAGCATTTGCCACCTTCCAGAGTATGATGCCTTTATCGCAGAACACTGAACTTAACTGAGCAGGTTAGGTAGTGGATCAATCTAAAGTGTCGCTGATCTTTGACGAAACAAAAGCAGTCACTCTCACTGCTCCTGCTGTACAGCTACAGAAACCTACCCTGCGCTACACCTGTAGGTAGTAGGTACCTACTCTTGGCTTAAACCTCTACATTAGTATTTAATGTTTATGACCCTGACCCTGCTCATATACGCCTTGCATTTAGGTGAGTGGCATTGCAGCGGGCAAGGTGGAGCCTTGTCGATGATCGGCTCGTCACAGGGGAAGCAGTTCTTCTCCTCCATTTCTGATTATTGAGCACACAATAATGATAATTTCACTATCTGATTGACGTATGCTATGGCTGAGCTTTTGACTTTGGCTTATGTCAATGTCATGAGTAAAACTTTTTTGTAATTTGTTAAAGAAGGTTAAGTCCTCATTTCTTGAAGAATTTCTACGATACGCCTCATTTACCGCTACGTCCCGTTCTTTGAAACTTTAGTCAGTCCCGGGCACAGATGTACTACGTATTTTCGCGAATAAAACTAGTTGACAAATAGACTCGTAGCCTTTCTCTGAAATATAGTAGGTACCTACAGGAAGTGAGTATCATTTGCCATGTTAGATTCGTTTCAAATGCCGTTTGAAACACTATTTCGCTGTCTTCAGATCCAAGGTTATCCACAACCGTCGTAGACTTCCTATTTCATTTGATTGCTGGCCAAAGAGTTGGGTTTTCACCTTGCTACAGTCTCACAAACTTCAATGGATTCACCTTCCCTGCCACGACATGAAACATTATATGTTAGATGCGCGTGCGCCAATGAACAGTCTACAGAATATCATGCTGAACCCTGTGGCATCTTTTCCAATTGATATAAGTGCGGTTTTGTAACAACAGTCTGATGTTCTGGCGACTGTACGTCAATGGAGTTATTTTAGATGTTGTACAAAATAGAGACGCTAACTGTGAAAGTAAAGAGCTGCCAAAAAACGAGAAGATGCAAATAAATAATGCAGATATGAATTAGAAATCAGATGTTTTGTAGAATTGTAGAGTCGTAAATAAGAAGTTTTTTCAAGAGCAAGCCTACCTAGGGACGTTTTCAATAACATACCTATTTGTTATTGAAAAAGTCTTTTGAACTGATAATATTAGGTTCAGGGTATTCATCATAAGTCACACACACACACGGTATCATAGATGATGTAAAGTCAGAAATATGTAGGTACTTAGTTGAACTCGAAAATATTAGAGTTGCAAGTTGCATTCCATACCACCAAGAAAACTGTAGGCATTTTCTTTCGACACTAAACAAGAATATTTCAATCATACACTTTACATATTTATTTGTTTACTTTCCATAGCCGCAGTTGATGACCTTGTAACCGAATCCTGATCACTTTCTAAAAGCAAATAGCTTTTATATAACACCTATTTAACTCCACAGGGTACTTATCTACCTATCAAATATTTCTCTTCATTGACAAGTTTAAAACGGGGGTTTAATAAATGAAGTGACATCTTTAACTTTGTTAGATGTTATTTGTCAAGGAATTTACTAAAGGTAAAATCTAAGGTAGAATGAACTAAAGCTGCGAAATATCAATATAAGATAGTATATGTTACACAGTTGTGGTGGTAAGGTTAGCAATTTGGAATAATTAACGAAGCCTTCACATAGTATATAGGAGTTACCTTTGGGGACGGAAAACAGCTATAATTTTTCCAGAGCGAAAAATTCCCTCAATATGCAAGAAAATCTTTTTCCTCTTTGCAGAAATGCTAAGGCTGTGGGGAAAGCTCTTTATGTGATAAGACTTTGTTTAAAAACAAAAGTGTTATTAAACTTCAAGCATTTCCTCATTTTAACCCACTTTCATAACATGCGTACGCGCAGAAACAAAATAAGCGATCTATTTCGAGCATCGCATTGACAATGACCGCGTGCTAATGTCTGGCGGAACTGATTTTGCCCTTGTCATTAACTACTGATGATGATGATAATACTGCTAAAATAGCTCTAATTAGCATAACAACTGCCTAAATCAACGCAGAAGGCCATCTTTTGACAAATTGGTCTTCGACGTTGACATTTTGACGTGGGAATGATAGCCGGAAAATTGTACGAAGAGTGACAGCCCATGCAAAATGTTTCGCCATGAAAGGTAGAAAATTAGGTACACTATCAACTATATCCACTGTTTGTTTTTGAATTTAGTTGCTAAGTTATTCGATTGGACTAACTACATATTTATTTAGCAAAGAGTCAAAGATTTAGCCGATAATAATAACATTGAAAGCATTGGGGGAGGCCTATGTTCAGCAGTGGACGTCCTATAGCTGAGATGATGATGATGATGAAAACATTGAGAACTCTACATTTCATTGGCAGAAATTTAATTTGTAAGGATGAAGATAAATTCATCTGGTATCTACCTGATAAATGGGTCGTCTCCAGAAGAAACTCTTCGCTTCCAACCACAGTCCAATAACTAACAAACAGAAGTAGAACACGTCTCGCTTCACTGGTCCGTCTCCTATGCCCAAAGTTTTCATTTACGACACGTGGGAATCATGCAAACTGTATTGAGGGCCCAGCGAGGGAAAACACGTCTTTATTCAAGGTTCCAACGAGTTTACTAACAGGAATACTGAAATAATATCGGTTCAGTGCCAAATTGCGATTGGCATCGTCCGCGGTCTCCCAGCTTCAGACTGGCGGTTTTGGAGAAAACAACAAGTTTTATAGACGTTTGGCGGGATCCCCAACCTGTGTTTGTGGAAAGACTCGCTTTACCCGCGGCTTTTCTCGCAGTAACTTTGCATTTCAGGAAAAGATATCCAAACCTTCTTTCAATAAAGCTCGTCAAGTCATAAAATAACTTCTATTTTAATCCTAGTAACTATTTGTGACTGACAATATCATGGAGGTTACGTAGGCCTAATGTATTGTAGGCCCGTGCCCACCTAATGTAATGACTCCGGCAGGAGCCCTATAGTGAACAGGCAGAGATTTATCGAGGGGACGGGCAAATGGATATGAAGAGCGACAAGTGAGAGATAAATACTCGTTTAGCGTATCTACATACCAGCACTTTCGTTAGTTTGGTTAGAGAATTTCCTTGGGGCATTCTACCAATTTTTATATTGGGAAAACCAGAGTAGGTAGGTCAATTTGAACTATATACCTACTAGTCTTTAAACACTATGCAAAGGTTCACAGGGCAGATAATTCGTACTTAGCAGTGTTTCACCTGAAAAGGTAGTCTTTTGTATACTCAATCAAACTCTGACTGAATGATATGATCGTGTAAACACAGCACGAGTGTTAACAAAGATTCTGGACACCTGCATTACTACAGTTTTCTTTTTTCATTTATTGGGGTCAACAAACAGCTTACACAATACAATACAATACAAATACAAATAATTTATTGAATTTAAAACATACATTAACATTTACACTTGTATACCTTAACTAATAACTAATACAGAAACAAAAAACAAACGGTGAACATTTTTGCTGACTACCGTCAACACAGACAATATCACTCGTACGTCCATTCAACGGAGCAGCGGTCGGGCGTCATAGAAAAACGAGCGTTAATAGTAGTGCTGAACGGGTCATAATGGCATGTGTCGGTGCCGACGGCCAGCATTGACCACTAAAACAATGAATGCTTATTAGCTATTATACAATTCTAATAACTTAGATAATTGTGAAACCAACATAGTTAACCACATATTACAAGTTAGGAACCTTATACATTTAACATTGGGACATAAATAATAATATGCTGGTGACTGTGTTAAAAACACTTCCGTACTATGTAGAACCAAAAGACAAACAGATTTCCTTTCAGATTTAAGAGAAGGATTAAGATGGCGTCAGATGGAAATAGATGGCTTGACGTCATCTCTGGGAGACGTCAGACCGAGTCTTTACCCTGAAAGACAAGTTTATTGACAAAATTAGGGATGTAAACACATTTCTTCCTGCTGGGAGGTACCAAAACAAACGTCCAGCCAGATAAAGAAAAAGATAAGTCTGCCAGTTATTGGGTATTTCTCATCGCCACGGTTCTCATCGTCACCTTCGTGGCGAATTTTATTTCTAACTTATTTCAACTTTTTGTAAACAAAAATTGTAGCGCTTGATGTGAAGACTGTATTCTCAGTAAATCAGTCAAATAGTGAGTGTTGTTTGGAAGTTTTAACGTTTTGAATTTTTTGATGCCACGAAAGTGATTCTGTACTTCACAGCAATAATTTTTTCAAACTTTATTACTGTAAATGACTCTTAAGTGTTTATAAAACATATATTTTGTCTTATTTTCATAGATAAATAGCAATAACATAATATAAATAGGTACCTACTTAAATACAAGATAAAATTTTACCGATTACGTCACCTACTATGTTACAAGATTCTACGCAATTGGTTTTAAAGGTGACACTGGTGGCATTCTGAAATGCTAAAGAAGCAAAAAACGGATTATCAGTAGGGTCAAGGANATAAGGAAAGTTGGATAGATAAATATACTAGTAGTAATCGTCTTTATTTTTGGTTTACCTTGAAAAATATGTATTTTACAGCGATTCCCGCTTAAGGGGATCATCTCGTACTACTTTCCCCTATAATGTAAATACTTGCATGTACCACCTATCCTATTGGATCCGCCGCATTGTATTAAGCGTAACAAATGAATAGTCGTACCAATAACGACATTAATTAAAACAGGCAATTATTATTCTAATATAATTAAACAAAACTAGAGCACTTTCTACAGTCAAATACTTATATGGGTATTGAAATATACTCTTTGATCTATTAAACAAAACAACTAAACAACTTGTTCACTTCCCTTTGTAAATAATAAGGTAGGGTCGCGTACTCGCGTATGATTCATTCGGTTCATCGTAACCAATTTAATGAGTAGGAAGCGAGTAATTGAAAATGATACTTTCCGAATATTCAGGAGTTCAACGACATGAAGTTATAAACTACGCCTCTTTTGATACTTCCGTATTTGAAGTAATGTAGATGTACATAGAAGTTATGTTTTAAGATTTAAACAGTGAAAAATAAATGGGAGCTCTTGCCGCTACTACGTCACAGTTCTGGTAGATCCAGTAAAGCAGTACTTATCTAGCAAAACTGGAAACTCTTTGAAGTTGTAGCAGAGATCGTTTCATCCACGAAGACGCATCCCACCATCCTTCCGCTAATGTTTTTGAGTGTTATCGGTACACGCTAAATATCTATGAGTTCACACGCACACTACAATAATGACGCTCGGATTTCTCGGAACAAACTCCACGCACCGCGTTTCCTTCGACCAAAAATTGGTGGGGCGCGTCTTCGTGGATGAAACGATCTATACGACTGTAAGTATCTACCAATATGTAAGCCAATGTTACGCATGTAACTTAACAAAAGGTAAACAGAGGATTAAAGAGAATAGGTCAAGGCGTCTGTCGACCTTTCTATACTCCAGTGCCCTCGGCTTTTACGTTTTACGATAGTCATCACTGTTAATGTGTCTACCAGTACGTTGTGAAGAGCTTTCATTATGGGTAAAGTGCGAAGGACAGATGGAAATGCCACATTGTTGGAAAGATCGTGAAAAGAAGCCGCCGCGACCACGTGAGAACATAGAAGCATTTGATACGAAAATTACTTAAAAAAATACAGAAAACTGTTAAACAGTGTTAAAAATGACCATACTACTTGTAAATGTCAATTTTAACAAGCGTTCAAGGGCCGTTTAACTTTTTTAATAATCCTTTGGCAGTTATCTAAGTAAGTAACTTATCATTCTTTACCTACGCCCCAAATAAAAGTTGTATTACTAACTTTTTAAAATACTTCTGCGAGTGCACGAATATTTCGGTTTGTTAAAAACTGTTCCTATACGATTTCCCTCGTGATCCGTTTGTCACAGAGCTATCCATAACAAACATATGAAACATAAACACAATGTTATAACCATCACAGCAATTATTATAAGATTATATCAGCAGTCCCAAAGATTACCCTACATTTGACATAGAAATAACATCTATTTTTACGGGAAATAACTTCTCTTTTACGGGAAAGTAAACATCAAGCGATACTGGGACGTGTAAATACTGCTTTTTAAAAGCCTATTTGCAGAAAATGACATTTGATGACTTTTTGACATGATGTGCACAGGCCGGAAGACGTAGCGAGGGCAGGCCACCCACTAGGTGGACTGACGATCTGGTGAAGGTCGCTGGAAGAACCTGGATGCGGGTAGCGCAGAACCCATCGTTATGGAAATCCTTAGGGGAGGCCTTGATCCAGCAGCGGACGTCATTTCCAAACAAACGAACGAATGACTTTTTATCTTCGGCACGATTATTTCAGAGCGTCCATTCTCTTATCCCTTCACTGGTTCACTGGGTCTCCTTACAGTAGCATTCCCAAAGATTACCCTACATTTGACATACAAAAATAACTTCAATTTTTACGGGCAATTAACATACCTTCGGCACGATAATTTCAGGGCGTCCGTTCTCTCTGGGTGGCGTGACCAGCGGCGCTGCTATGGGCAAAGCAGACGCCTCCTCCTCCGTGTCTTCTACCCTCACTGGTGGACTAGACCTCCTCGCAGTAGGGGCGGGTTCCACCCCCACAATTTCCCCAGGGATGCCCCCAGTCCCAACCCCGTTGAGGGCTGCTTGGTCCTCATGCGTGCCCAGGATCTGGAGAACAGCAGCCCTGAAGTCCTTGTACACTTCTTCTGGGTTTCGTTCGCCGTTTACCTGGAAGATAGAATTAAGTTGTAAATTATTGTAAGAGCCACAACTTGCGGTTTGACTGAGATCAAGTAATCAGTTATCCAGCAACCACTATTTCTTAGATTATGTAGAGCGTTATAATATTTGGTTTCAGAGATCTAGCTATCTGGCAGAGAAAGACCTCGGCAGTAACCTTCATTTCTTAATAGCGTTAGATTATTTCAGATAGCTATCTGAAACTTTGTCTTAAGACATCAGGAGGCCTAAGATGCGTGCCGCGATAAGCGGTTATCACGCCATTTTATCGATTTTGCCCATACATTTTGACGTCGATATAAGTTATCACGGCACGGCGCGCATCTTAGGCCTACAGGTAATATTATAGAGAGCCTTATCATTTTACAAAATATAGTAAAAGTTACGTCGATGTCTAAAGAAGTAAACAAAAACATTTCCTTGCTATTTCAGTATAATTATGACGCTGATGCAACGTAAGACTAATAACTAGTAATTTCCATTAACAATTCAGCAGTCTGCAAAACCAATACCTGCCCTTCAAGCTGACGCTTCATCGAAATTACAGACATCAGTTCGAATTACAGTGCAAATTCAATCAACGCCTGCGCCTTTCTCAGGCATGCTGTAATTTCTTCGGCCATTATTTCTGTAATTATTGGCTGTGCACCCTTGCTAGCTAGTTAATTACGGGTAATTATGGTTCGCCACTGACTGACACAGATACTTGGGTCACAGAGTCATACATCATAAATGAACTGGGTAACGGCGTTTTCTTGGGTGAGAACGCGAACATACGGGGCTGGTTTTGGAGCGTGAACGCTGAAAAAGTTTTCTAGAGGTCAGTTTAAGTTTTAAATTGGAACAATCAATAAACTGAAAGTGTGACTGACTTTTCTATAGAATTTGGCAGCTAAAGGGATA